CGTATTTTTAAGCCGGTCTTGGTGAATTTTAAATTGCAGTTTAAAACAAGTAGATAACACGTATTTTTATGGGAATTCTTTTGTTATTGACACAAAAACACAATTATTATTTAAAAATAAAACAAACTAAAAAGTAACTACATAAAACATTAAATTGAAAATAGTGCGCGTTATTTCAATTTTCGTTGATTTTCTCTTTGCAAAACTTTATAAAAATACTCAAACAGCTGACAGGGACAACAGATTAATTTCTAAAGTTCAATATAAAAACGCGGTTAATTCTGTTGTGTTGTTTTTTCACACATGTAAACAGCTGATAGAGACAGCATTAAATTCTTAAGTGCGTATAGTGTTGTAAAACAATTAATCTGTCACACATTTTTTAAAAATTTCATATTGTGTAATTGTGTAATTTCAAATAGTCTAATACTGTTAATATGAAAGAGTGTCACAAGTGTCGTAGAGGTATCCGCGGTGAAACTGGGTTAATATGTTCAGGTGTGTGCGGCAAGGCATATCACACAGCTACCAAATGTTCTGGTGTAGAGCAATTTAATATTAATTGCTTAAATAATCCTATGATTCATTTCATGTGCGAAGACTGTGTGCAATATGTTCACAATGTTGACTTTGCACTTAGGGAAATAAATGAAAATGTGGGAAAAAATAATAATTATCTTAAAGAATATAAAAACGAATTTAAAGACGCATTGAAAGTTAATGAAAATGAACTTAAGTGTTTATTAAAATCTATCGAGGCTAAATACTCTGATAGAATCAATGCTCTGAAGAAAGTTCAAGAAGCATACGTAAATAAATTTACGGCACTTGAACAAAAAAAGTTAAATTTGTCGAATAATTTAAAAAAAGAAAATTAATTACTATGTTCCGAATTATTAAAACAAATTAATAAATGTGTAGATAAGAAAGAATCTTATGCAGAAAAACTTAAATCAAGTAATACATCTACTGTACCTATTACAGTGAAACCTATAAGGAAACAATTAGGTGATGACACTAAAAAAGACTTAAAAATGAAAATTAATCCGTCTGAACTTAACGTGAAGGTTAATGGTTTTCGAGCTAAAAATGATGGCAGGGTTACTATTAAATGTGTTACTTCAAAGGAACGTGAAAATCTTGCAAATGACATTAAAAAAAAATTAAGTGACCAATATATAATCGAAACACCTGCGCTTCGATACCCCAAATTATTCATCTCGGGTATTAGTGAAAAGCTAGAAAATGAGGACCTAGTACTTGCCATAAAAAATCAGAATAATATTATAGTTCAACATATTAAAGTGTTAAAAGTCTATGAGTCTTATAAAAATAAAAAACATTTAATGCGATTGTTGAAATAGATGGCAAGGCTTTTAAGCAATTTATGAAAGAACGTCAAATCAACATCAAATGGGATAGATGCATAATATATGAAAGTTTAAACGTGCTATAAGTGCTGGGGCTTTAACCATAAGGCGAGTGTATGCAAAGAAAATGACCATGTTTGTGCTAAATGCAGTGAAGTGGGGCATTCACATAAGGAGTGCAAAAGCGATATTGTCAAATGCGTTAATTGTGTTAAAGCTAAAAAGTTGCTGAATCTCCATGATCTTTCCACTGATCACGACTCTAGGAATGTGATATGTAAGATCTTACAACGCAGAACTAGACAGGAAGCTGAAAACATTAACTACTAAATATGCAGGATCACAAAACACTTATCAATATTTTTTCGAGTCAACGGTGTGGTGTTAATATGGTTCATTTTAATGCAAGAAGCCTCTCTGGCCTTAAATTAGATTATGTTAGAAGTGTTTTTGAAGGCTCCAAAGTTGATGTCATTTGTGTTTCCGAAACTTGGTTTGATCATAACATAAGCAGCGTTTTTTTTTCCTTGAACGGTTTTGATTTATTTAGACATGACAGGAAACATAGATTAGGTGGCGGAGTGGCTATTTTCTGTAAGTCACATTTAAAAGGTCAATTAGTGTCTGTCTCAATGGAAACTGAAATTGAACACATTAGCGAGCGTGTACTTGCTGGCAACTACAAAATTTTAGTTACTTGTGCCTATAACCCTAACAAAATATTTTCCTGCGATCCTCTCTTTGATTCTCTTCTACCTATTGCCGTTAAGTTTGATTTTCTTGCAGTATTCGGCGATTTCAATATTGATTTCCTGTTAAATTCTGCTAAAGCAGCTAAATTAAATGACCTTATGACTATGACGGGTTTAAGTGTTGAAAATAACTCCATGCCTACTAGGTTTAGCAACAATGTACGACCTAGTCTTCTTGATTTAGTTGCTGTCTCTGACTTGAGTAAAGTTTTGTTTTTCGAGCAGATTTCGTTTGTGTCTGATCCTGACTTATTATTTGTGACTTTTGATTATAATGCGACTAAAACATTTACTCCTACACAATTCTCTTTTTGGGACTTCAAGTCTATTGATACTCGGAGATTGTTCAGTGAACTGAATTCTGTTGACTGGAGTGGTTGTTGGTTTAGTGCATCAGTAGATGAAAAATTGGGAGTCTTTAATAACATATTGTCAGATTTTTTACATCGTTTTGTGCCGTATCGTACAGTATGTGCAAAAAATTCGTCTTGTCCTTGGTTTAAGCCTTATATTAAACGAAAAATTAACTATAGAAATAAAAAATATGCTGTTTGGAAGAAATATCCCACGGCACTCAATTGGATGCGATTTAAAGTGGCTAGGAATTTAGCTTCTGCGGCTATTTATAAAGCCAAATTAATGTTCTTTAAATCCAAACTTGGAGGTCGTCAGCAAACAAAATCTCTCTGGAATAATATTAAATCTTTAGGAATTATAAAAAACTCCACAGCTGTGTGCTCCTTAGATCCCAATAACCTAAATGATTATTTTGTTTCGTCTGTTGGTAGTAGATTGAGAGTCAATCCTGCTTTCCCTTGTCTTGAACATGCCGGCTCTGAGAGTATATTTAGTTTCGAGTGTGTTAGTGAAGAAGTAGTTTTCAATAGTGTAATGAAAATTAAATCAAATGCAATTGGTATTGATAAAATTCCTTTGAAGTTCTTAAAACTCACTCTTCAGTCAATTATTTCTCCTCTGACACATATAATAAATCACTGTTTTGCTTCTTCAACATTTCCTAATACATGGAAGCTTGCAAAAATTATTCCAATTGAAAAAAAGTCAAATGCATCCCTATGCTCTGATTTTCGCCCAATTAGCATTCTTTCCTCGCTCTCGAAGGTGTGTGAAAATATCATGGCTAACGCTATTCGTTGTCACCTAGATCGTTTTCAGCTTCTTTCCCCTTTGCAATCTGGGTTTAGAAAAGGTCATAGCTGCACGACTGCTATGTTGAAAGTACTTGAGGATGTTCGAATCAGCTATGATCAAAACTTGATTACATATCTATGTCTACTTGATTTCTCCAAGGCTTTTGACCGCGTTGATCATTCTTTGCTTTGCAAAAAACTTGTCAACTCCTTCTTATTTTCTAAGTCGGCGGCAAAATTTATCTTTAGCTATTTAAGTGGAAGGTCGCAGTCTGTTGTGGTATCGAATGAGTTCTCAACTTTTAAAAATCTTCACACTGGAGTTCCTCAAGGGGCAATCCTGGGTCCCCTTTTGTTTTCAATTTATATAAATGATGTCTTTTCAATTTGTAAGTATACTAAATTGCATGGGTATGCTGATGACATCCAAATGTACATTTCTTGTGATTTCACCGCTATTGGTGATCTAATTCAAAAGATAAATGTTGATTTAAATAATATTAACACTTAGGCCGTTGAAAATAACATGCTACTTAATGCCAAAAAAACAACTATTTTGCCAATAAGTAGGTTAAAACTTTTTTTTTTTTTTTTTTTTTTTTT